GGGTTTAGGGTTTAGGGGCCTCTTTGGCTTTCAGCGGCTGCCTATAAACGAAGAACCCGCTTCAAGGTGATTTGCTGTCGGGTGTCTCCCAAGCAGAAGGGTGCAGTCGTCCGTCTCATCAAGCAGGACCGCCGGAAGCGTTTCATGGCAGTTTGGGTTTGCCTGCTCAAAGTCTGGAATAGGGACGGGCCCTTCAACCTGGAGGTGGCTAGAGTCAAAGAGGGGTAGGGCACAGGGTTTCTACATGTTCAGGCTTACGCCCTAAACCTTAAAGCCCTAAGCCCAAAGGCCCTAACCCCAAACCCCTGAAGGGTATAGGGTTTCTACATGTTCAGGCTGCAGCCGATCGTCAGAAGCACATTTCAAGCCACAGGAAAACGTGAATGCAGGCGAGTCGGTCTTGGTAGAAGCAGAAACCGAAGACTCTATATACTAAATGGTTTTTGTCCTGCTTCAAAGGCCTTCTAGCCGTTAGTTGAGATTTTTTGTTGTGGTTTGCATAGATCAAACGACCATAAGTGTTGCCCTAAGCCGTAAACTCCAAGCAGGTTTGTTGAGGCATGGAACTAGCTTCGGCAAGCGCGTATTTCAGGTTCAAGAGCCATTACAGGAAATACCTCGCGATGTCTCCTATACTCTAGCATTGGAGCCTCAAAAACTTCGCCCTCCTTATTTGTGAGAGTTCCTTGTCATAGTCCTTGGCTTTTCAGTCTTACTAACTTCAGCATAGGAACCTAAGAAGATACGCAACTTCTTCCTCGGGGCTCCTTGTTGTAGTCCTACTATAAGGTCCCTATACCTCCACACCGATACTGAAATCCCTGATCTTGAATGCTCCGCCCAAAGCCCCCCTAAATGCTCAACCAAAGGCATGAAGGGATCAGTTTCGGGTTTGATAGTATTTTAAGATATATAAAGAATATATATATATATACACATGTATATATACATTTATTTATTTATTCATGTGTATATATTACTTCTGTGTGAATTCTACCCGGTTTTTGTGAGGAGGAGAAGGCCATCACTCTGGCAATCGGCAGCTGGACTGCCGAGGATGACAGTGTTTTCTTGTAGTGCCGTCTGCACGGTGGCAGTACTTTTAACAGCAGTAAACCCTAAACCCTAAGCCCTAAACCTCTCTATCATAGGTGTTGTCAGAAGTGATCCTAGGTTGCATAGCAGCCGTGTAAGTGATACCGGTGGTGTACCCAGAGGGTTAGTTGCACACTTGCTGAGGCAGCAGTGACAGGAGCACTGTCCAGGTTCGTCTTCCTCAAAAGAAGCATTCTAGAGGCAGTAATTGTAGTTGCAGTGGCATGCGGGCCTATGAAGCCATGAACAGCAAGAACACAAGTGGTAACCGCCGAGATTCTTATTTCTAATGGCCGGATCCCAGCTAACCCCCAAGACATATGCAGGTAGCTTAGTCGGGTCCTCTTCCGAGTGAGCCAGAAGCTGTCGGAGGGGTTTCCATGGTTCAAGGCGCAGTTTAGGGATCAGTGGAATTCAGTGTAGAGTGCTTCCGTCAGCAGGATGCTGGTTGGGTTTAAGGTCCAGGGCTAGTTGGCATGGGCTCCCACGCTACGGGTTAAGAGTTTAAGGGTTAATATACAAAGCAGCAATACAAGATAGCATACGGGATCGGAAATGACTGCATGGACTCGGGCACTGCTTATATACTGCATAGCGATCAGAGAGCGAAGACCAAAAGACTTGATTTCAAAACCCTGCCAAAAAGGTTTTGCAGTTGAGCTTATTGGCCTCAGGTGTCCCGAAACCCTAAACCCTAGACCCAAAGGCCTTTGATAGCAAAGCCTTTGGGCCCAGAGCCCTGGGGTCCTTAGACACTTCGATTATCCTAACCCCTAAACACATACACCGTAAACTCTAACATAGACCTTGAAGGCCTTTCCGCTAAGGGAACCCTTTACAGAAGGCTATGCAAGCCCCGGCAACGACTGAACGTCGCTTTTGCGCTTCGGACAGTTTGAGGTGATGGCGCCAACGACTGCAACATGATCATGACCCTTGGCCTTGGCGTTCATATACTGTATATGTTACATACTAGTATACATATATGTGTACACATATATATATATATATACACATATATATATATATATATATACATATATATATATATAGAGAGAGAGAGTTATGTGTATGTATATGCGTATACTAGCATATATATATATATACATATATCTATAACATTGGTTATCATATGGCGGCAGGCCAAAACCACTAACCCCCCGACTGCCCGGGCCCTAAAGACGAGGGCTCGGACCACTGCAAGCATTTATCCCTGTTGCCTTGGCCGACAAGCGTGCGCACAGTTCATGATTGCCATTGCGAGTATCGTTGGCGAAAGTTAGCTAGCTGCATTAGATTCACCATCCCACAGGTTTCAGATACTAGTTACAACCTGACTTTTGGTCCCCTAAACCCAAACCCTAAACCCTAAACCCCTAAAAAAGACTACAACCTGAGTTTTTTTTATCTAATTTCCGAAAGGCCGCCAGCCTAAATCGTATAAAGCCTCACAGAGCCACCTAGATAACACCTCTACCTATGGCCTATAGTCTCCATTGTCCTTCGTTTTGGTGTTACCGTAAAGGATCCCGCATGTAAACTGGGTTACACCACAAAAAGATGCCTCGAAGCCTCATGGAACCCTGGCCCCCAGAGCTCGGTGATGGGACGATGGCGCTTCCGGCGCTTCCGGCTCAAATACGTTTAGGACACGGTGTAGGGTTTAGGGTTTAGGATTTAGGTGCTGACACGACAAGGTCTTTGAGATAGTCAGGCCCGAAGAACATGCCTACAGAGGCCTGCTACACCGTAATATAGGTGCCTTAATAATTAGAATAGGGTTTGGGGGTATAATATACTACAATTATAATAAGGAGGCCTCAAAATCCTATTCTAATCACTAAGTCCCCTTCCCTACTTTCATGTCCTTCCATGTTTGTCCCGACATAGCGCCAAAGGATGGAGTTTTAGAGGCCATACAGAAGCCTTATAACAACTTGAAATCGTATCTCTATCTAGGTAGGTTGTATGATAATGCACCATGAAGAGAACTAGTCCACATTCATGCCCGTGTACTGAACCCGAAACCTCAGTTTCGTCATTATGAGAATCTCCTCCTGACACCCTTTCGAAGCCTCCTCTTCGAAGTATCTTGGGCCTTTTTCTTGGGCCCTTTCTAGTCAGAGTCTGCGGCGGACTCTTCCGTACGCTTGGGCCAATCAAATGGGCGCTACGGAAGATGTCGGGCGGCTCGTCCGGACCTATTGGCACCTTGGTTGCAGTGGTTACAGCAAGCTTTCTAAGGTTTTACTTAAGCCATAAACCCTACACATTGCACCCCTAAACCCTTAAACCCTAAACCCCTAAATCCAGGTCACTGCTTCTCGGGAACATCCTGGAGTGGTATGAGTTCTGTCTTTTCAGCTTCCTCGAGCCCTACTTTGAGGAGAACTTCTTCCAGGGCTCCTCTGTGGAAGCTTGGCGTTTAGGGTTTAGGGTTTTGAAGGCGCTTAAGAAATGGATATCTTCAATAGGGAACTTGAACACAACCATGCCGTTGCCAGTCGTTTAGAGTTCAGAATCAAAGTGGTAATCGGTCATATAGGACGGTTTGGGGTTTGATTTTCAGGTTCTTCTGCTTCGAGGAATCAGGATTTACGGGTTGGTTTTGGGTTTCGATGTCCCGATCTGTGGGTTTGCAGTTTGGCAAGTAGTTTAGCGGTGTGGTGTAGGGTTTCAGATGGTGATGCTGACAAGGGGGGTCTGGATAATATAGGGGCCTATAGTAATTACTAATACTGTTTTGGGGGTTCCTTATTAGAATTGTACAGGAGTGTAATCATTGCGAGTTCACCAGTCTCGTGCATGTATCGTCTTTTTGGCTAGAAGCGTTCGCCGGTGTATGTTCATATGCAGTGGAAAGATGATTATAGAAGCATTTCCGCATGCTCTTGGACAACCCCGTCAGTGCGAGCGCAGCCTGTCTTGTGATTCTTCCAGCAGCCACAACCAAGGAAGCCAGGTAAAGAACCCCTTAAAGGAGCCCCTTAAGGGAGTCCCTTGCAGGAACTCCTCTTAAAGTGAAGTGAGTGAGAGGCAGCCGATCCCCTGGAAATCTCACGTTGAAACAATGCCATTCCGAAACAGCCTCATGTGAATCATTCTCAGATAGCTATCTCTGGGTTCCGAGAGCCACAAAAGCAAACAAAGCCAACAAATGGGAGATAACGATTCCGGCGCCATTGCGGAAGTTCAGCTTTGTTCCTAGGTTTTGCTCACATTACCCCCTAAACCCTAAACCCTAAACCCTAAACCCTAAACCCTAAACCCTAAACCCTAACCCTAAACCCAAACCCTAAACCCATTCGATCGTTCTGGTGCCGAAAAAATTGTTTGCGCTTTTGGAGCCTCCCGCGGCCCCCGATCCGCTGAGAATGGACACATCCGTGAATTAAGGAATACCTATAGGGTTTAGGGTTTAGGGTTCAGGGTTTAGGGTTTAGGGTTTAGGGATTGTTGGCCAAAAACCGCAAACAAAAAGCACAAGTCATGAGCAAATCAAAGCCCATGCCCCGAATCCCAAAAGACTCGATAAAAGATCAAGCCCTAATTCCCGAAATCCTGCCAAGAAATCAAACAAAAACGATCCCTAAACCTTAAACCCTGAACCCAAACCCCTAACCCCTAAACCCTAAGCCCTAAACCCTAAACCCCTAACCCCCAAGGCAGCTTGGCTGGGATTTGCCATTACCTTCCTCGCGCGGCCCTTCGGTGGGATGGCGCTGGGTCTTCTTGGAGATCTCTTTGGCCGGACCCTTGCCCTACTTAGGGTTTAGGGTTAGGGTTTAGGGTTTAGGGTTTAGGGGTTTAGGCTTTAGGGTTAGGGTTAGGGGTTTAGGGTTTAGGGTTTAGGGTTTAGGGTTTAGGGTTTATACTTAAAGGATCATGGGACTTAGTAAGTAGGGTTATAACTAAGGTAACTGTGCTTATATTTACTTATAACCCCGGTTAAGGGACTTATAACCGTACTTGCTAAGTCCCATGATCCTCCAAATATAGCAAGCCCCAAAAAGTTGGAAACCGGATGAAGGACAAACAGTGCTGGGATTCCTGACACGTTACTCTTAAGGATTGAGGCTATTGGGTTTCCAACTTTTGGTCTTCTACTGTAGACCTCTTTCTTTTTGGGTTCCCTTAATAAAACCAAACAGTAGGAAAAAGGGTGGACTTGTTATTTAGGGGCTATTGGGGAACCTAGTTATAGGGTTTTAGTTTAGGGACCTTTCTTGTTAGAACAGGGTTGTGGGGATATACTGCAGCATAAATCTGCAAAGACACCCCAAAGAATAGTGGTGCTACAGGCCCCTGCAGTGTAGGGGTTCTTTGGGTTTCAGGTATATTCTCGAGCTTAGGATTTAGAATAGAGCTGAGGGTTTACATTGGTGAAGGGCTCAGAGTTTCTGTTTGGGAGTGTGCAATAGGCCTACTTCAGAATGTTTGGGGTTTAGGGTTTAGGTTGTAGGATTTAGGGTCTAGAACCCTAAACCCTAAACCCTAAACCCTAAACCCTAAACCCTAGGGTTGGCGAAGCAGACGCCAAGGCACGGGTCAGCGTGCCATTGCTGCCACTAGCAAAGCACCCAGAGAACCACCCAATACCCCTTAATTAAGGAACAGAGCTTAAATCATAATATTAAGGCCCTTATAATTTCGGGTATATTCCTTAATTATGGGGTATTGGGGTCTCTGGGCATTCATGACGTCCTTCACTTTCCCAGCCTTGCATGCAAACTGCTGAACACATGCTGGCAGGGACTTGCCGGCCTTGGCACGCAACAGTACCATGGACTCCTCAGTGAGTTTGTAAGGGTAGACAGCATTCTAAGGTTGAAACCATGGACCCCTAGTATGGGCCCTTAACCCTGGGATCCTTATACACCTACTATATACCCTATATGTACCCTCAAAGGGTCCCTAGAATCCTCCTGAAAGGCCTTAGGGCCCACATTAGGGGCCCACACTTCTAACCTTAGAAGCATCAGGGGGCCCAAGGATAATTCCACCAGGCGTCCACATGACACGAAAAAGCCCAAAAGCGCAAGCCAGGGCTTGGCGAGCCATTCCCCTAAACCCTAAACCCTAAATAAACCCTAAACCCTAAACCCTCATGGTACCCTTAAAGGAAGACCCCTTACAGGAACCCAAACAAGGTACTCCGCGGATCATGGGACTTAGTAAGTAGGGTTATAACTACCTTAAATGGGTTTATGATTACTTGTAAGTACAGTTACCTTATTTATAACCCTAGTTACAATGTCCCATGATCCTCCAAGTAGAAAAACCTTAAACCCTAAACCCTAAACCCTAAACCCTCATGGCACCCTTAAAGGAAGACCCCTTACAGGAACCCAAACAAGGTTCTCGGAGGATCATGGGACTTAGTAAGTAGGGGTATAACTACCTTAAACGGGTTTATGACTACTTATAAGTATAGTTACCTTATTTATAACCCTAGTTACTATGTCCCATGATCCTCCAAGTAGAAGAACCTTAAACCCTAAACCCTAAACCCTAAACCCTAAACCCCTAAACCCTAATCCCAAAAAGGAACTAAGGATTTACGCACCTACTCCCGGTCTTTGGAACTTCACAGCTCGGCTACGCGCCTCCATGACAAGCTGGTTGTGCTCCTGCGTTGCAAGGGGTATAGGGCTCGGAGTTTGAGGCTTAGGGTTTAGGGCTTAGAGTTTAGAGCTTGAGGTTTAGGGTTTAGGGCTTAGGGTTTAGAGTTTTGAGGTTTAGGGTTTAGAGGTGCAGGGTTTCAGGCTCCTTTGTTTCAAGGGAAAGCAGCCGTTGTAGCCGCACTGGGCTCAAGTTTCAGTTTAGGGTGTGTATGTACAGCTACTCTCGTAATAACCCAAGTTACTACGCCCCATGATCCTTGAAGCAACCCTCGACCCCCTTTTGATCCCTTTAAGTAATGTAGGGGCC